GTCTTTTTATTGATACTAAAAATGATTCATCTCTTTTTTATTCTGCTCCAAATACTCCAAATACTCTTAATAGTAATTGTAACTTTTCATTAAATCATCGAAATCGCGACAGCTATTTACGTTTTAATAACGAGCCTGTATCACCTGCATTGTCAGACTCAAGTAAAGGCTCTAAATTTAAAGAAATGCTAGACGAATCTTCTTTTAAAACGTCTTTAGGATTTAACATTGATCAAGATACAAAAAACAATCGTACTAGAACCCAATCATTTATAACTAGATTTATGTCTAATGGTCGCCTATCAAGTCACACTCCCCTATCACCTATATCCACACATTCCCTCTACGTTCCTTCAAACAAGTCCTCAAAAGATTCTTTATCTATAGGAAATAGACGCAAAAGTAAAGAAAATTTGACTGATTCTGAAAGAGAAAATCAACCAAGACCACGTCGTGTTTCAAATCCAAGCACAAAATCTCATTTCTTCAAACATCTTCATCTGCCTTCTCGTAAAGGTAAAATTTCCGAAAATACCGCCCGAACTACGAGTTATTGGCCGGTAACTGAGGATCCGAACAAAAGTCCCAGTCGTTTTTTCAGAACTCCGTCATTATCCGGTAAACGTCCTAAACTACATAAAATTAGAAGTGATACTGATTTAAGAAGCTTACGGAAAATGTGGGCGGAACGTGATCAAACCTCCCCTTTATCTGCTCATGTGGAATATGTTTGGGAAGACCCTATTAGAATTGATCCTGTCTCTCCTGTTGATGATTGTGATGAAAGTCTAAGAGAAAGTTTATTTCGCAAAATCGTAACAAAGAAAAGGTATTTATTAAAATTACCGTATTTTCCCAACATGTATACCCCCCGTGGGCTATACCCTGTAGCAATTTATTTGATTTATACCCGGGTATATAAGTATGGGAGTATCATACTTATGTACCCGGGCATATAATAGTAAAACACAAAAACATAGAAGTACTTGTACAGTATACCCCCCCTACACACGTACCGGTACACATGTTGGTAATTGATATACATA